GTTGGTAATAAGATGTAATATGTATAATTACGTGTAATTTTTAGTGATGACTTTGTATGTTTTTGACTAAACTTGAATGTGATTTATCATGAACTATTTGCAATAGTTTCTCCAGTCGTACTGTAACGATAAATGCGCATGCGTATTAGTGTTTTATAAGATTATGGTTATAATTAAATTTGATTATTAGCATACAACATCAAACAACAACAATGAATGCTTCACTGTTTATTGGAAATTTAACCAAATGTCCGTTTCAGCTAAATAATGAGAATATAGTCATTGTCCTGTGATTTTTCCGCGGATGTAAATCACTTGGATATGCATTAATAGTAATTTGTTGTTATTCAATCATTTTGTCAGAGGTAGTATGCAAGGGTTAATGAGCAGACAGAAGAGAATTATATAAAGAATGCAATGCGGTAAGGAATGTGTTTCATTCATGCATGTGATCACTCTTCCACATATTGACACGACATAAAGGTCAAATGAACATAATACGAAGTCTGCGCACTGACTGTCGATTCAATAGGCTGCACCCATAGAAAAAGCAGTATTCATCTACTAAAATATTTAATATGGAGGTGTGCCCACTTTGGAATATAAATACACCCATACTGCAGGAATTTCCTGAATTCCCGCCAAATAAAGATCCGTAGATAAGAGGACTAGGTTTTTGAATTACGTTGTATTGACCGATTTCTGAGTAGGAAAAGTACAGAATAGGCGTAACACTATACACAATTTCGGGTAATTTGTTTATTATTTTCATTTTTTATGTGAAATCTTTCACTCAGCAAAATGCTAATTTGTAATGCACTTAAATGTTCTGTATCTTTACTAGTTTGCTGCGTGCGTCTCACCTCACAATTATGCCTTGTCGCGTTTCCATGAAAACATCGAACGCGTGTTTTTGTCAGTAAAGCTATAACGTGATATGAGACGGCAAAATCTATTGGTTTAAATTTGAAATTGATGCGAGTTTTTACAAGAACGCTGATTGATGGATGCCTTTACTTTGGACTGGTGCTCACGAAATCCCGATAAAAAAGTGTGGTCACTACTTTTCGCACAAAGAATGAGTCAAACACCCCTGAAATTGGAGATATTGTAGTCATAACCATATCTCAAAATTTCGTTCGGGTACATATACTGAAAAATCATATGTAGTTCTAGTTGTTACGAATTATCGAGAAATTCTGACAACTACCTTGTGTCTAAATCAACAATTATGTAATACTTTATTCATTAGCTCTTAACATTTACACATACATGTATATTTAATAACAGAGACCGCGAACTGCACCAGTATTTATATTGGGGTGCGAACAACCTGTTCTTGCCAACCAGTCAGTGCATACGCGCATGCGCACAAAATGGAGATTATCTCCAGATTGGCAGAATTTACCAGACTTGGGGGGGGGGGTACAAAATGGTCGAAAAACATTCAAGGGGAAATAGAGTAAACGCCGTGGTAAAGTGCCCTGTTGAGTGCATTCGCGACACACCTGCTGTATTAAGGACGAAATACTGATTTCACTGTGAAGGAAACCAATAGAGTCCGGCAAGAATTCCGTAGCTATTTAAATACCATCAGCAGAGTAACGGCCGTCATTTCATCGCAATGTTCTTATTATTGCCACGTATTATTCAATGTAATGGTTTCTGTGAAAGCGATGCACCCGCGAATGTAGCACATGACATACGTTTCGATTTCCTGAGTGTACATACTCAATCTAAATGTACATTTAAACGGTTGCTATTTAATACAGTACCTTTCTGCTATTGGAAGCGATTTATGTTCTCTAACGAGAGTTTTTACTCTTGGGAAGCATGCTTGTGAAATAGTAGATCTCAGATAATAGCGTGACCAAATTTTATTTATAAAAAAAACGACATGTTAAAATATGCACAATCCCACGCCGGCAATAAAACCATCACCAACGGTCCGTAGTTTAACGATACAGTGGGTCAACGCATCGAGTATTTGTATTTATAGCATATGGCTGACTTGACTCACTTTTGGTAGAGTAAATATTTCTACGTTTAATACTTTAAATAATTTACACGTATATATATATATATATATATATATATGTAATATGTTATAGTTCGACTGTGTGGTATTATTACATAGGTGACATAACAAGACATCGCCATCAGCGTAACGTTCACTTATACATTGCATGCATACCACAACTTGCGCCCACGCATCAACACACGAGGACATTACACTCGTCACCTTCCAGTCACTTGTTATACACCTCCCCCGCCGAGGTAAACCCATGACCAGACGTGTTATTAGAAATAGGATCTGGACCTAAACACGTTTAAAAATAAGGACTTCTAATATTACACTGGAATGTTTAGATTTGTGAAGCAATGCGCCAATTGATTTGAAAGTCATTCACTCTTCATTAGATTTAATCAACCACAGGTTATTTCGGATGTTTGAGTTGAAATTGTAATTTTGTTTTGATATAATATATTATTCTCGGGAGTGAGCATCCGGGCATTTTCACAGCCTGGCAACCCAAAACGGTGAAAACAATGGGAGAAAATTCACAAAAACAAAACCTGTGCTTTAGGCTAGTTGAAACTCTTGAGTAGTGTAACAAGACTACTTCTACATTGTGCAACATATATAGATTTGGTTCTTCGAGGTTTTCTCAAACTTGAGTTTGTTTTGTTTTCTCGACCGGCGTTCTACAGCAGCTCACGCAGAGGCTATAAGAATAAAGGAGTGCACGTCTTAGCAACATAGAACGTTCTGTGACGTAACTCCGCCCGAGTAATCACTGGCTTTTTGTTCGCGGTGTTTTCAACAATTGGAAACACTATTAATGTTCTTTCTCAGATGTAAAAATCAAAATATACTGATAGCAAAAACGATGGGTTTGTTTATTTTTGATATAACTGATATCACATTGCCAGAATCGGCTAAATGTTCAGTCAGGAGAAGGGATATGTGACATATGTGTTATGCAATTAATCCGATACCAAGCGTTGATTCATTAATATGTATTTTATTAGAATTATGAAAACTGAAATAAATTGCAATTATACAGTGATATGTATGCCACAATATGTCTCCGATCATTACCCTTTCCCAAAGACTGTATTTTTATGCCATATTCATTTATTGATGGTATCGGGATCGAGCTGACAATACAACATTTTACGAAATATTTTACACATTGTATACGCATGCAGAAACTGTATTGGCGTGACATAAGCTACTCGCTTGGTCTACAGCTATACACGGTAGGGCGGTATTGTGTGGGTTTTTGAAGTGGCGTGCTTGCGGTGAAGGCCGTTTCTAGAAGATTGAGGATTCTTTGCATGTGTATCCATCCCTGATGAATTCCAGAGAGATATAGTAGTTGTGTTTTCTTGACAGAGGCTATACATGGCTACTCGGGGGATTCATTCATTTATTATGCATTTACGGACAAATCGCAGTGCCAAAATGTATCTATGGCAACGTCAATAGTTAAAGTTTACCAAGAATAACAACTTAAATCAAACTAGAATCGTTGTTTAGTATATGTGCTCCGATTACGGGAACATTATGTTTTGAATTTTGTTTTACCATTCTCAAATTTGCGGGAGACAGGTATCGGAATATAAATGCATTGAAAGCGATTCAAAAATTGTTGCTTCACAATATACGGTCAATGACTTGCGGTGTGCGCGACGCCGTGTAACCACGCGGTCACATACATCAAACAACTTGAATATCATGATAGTGGGAACAAAGATATTTTACAGCTACAGCGCCGATTTGTAGTCAAAAATGTTTTTTCCAGAATATGTTCGTGTCTAAGGGTGATAATTTAAAACTTGAATCTGTAACTTCACTCCCGATTTAGTGCAGGCTATCCCGATATCACACACGCCTGTCTAAATTGTGTTAAAATTAACGAGACACATTTAGTAAACTGGCACAGGTCTATATATTATTTCGAACAATGCCGGAATGTCATTTAACAGAAATTAAACTATTTTTATTACTCGTATATAGGATTCGATGGTAATGAAACCATTGTCTTTGAAATAGTTGACTCGGTTATGAGCCAAGTGCGAAAACAATGCCCTCTCCCCGGGGTGATTCGGCTGCTTACAGTATAAATTATAAATGCCGACTGACATACCTGTACTCGCGTTTTCCACCGCTATTATCAACGCTGTCCTGCCGTTCGGGTCCACGCAGTTGAAGTCCAATCCCACGACGTTCTCTAAAGCATACTTTATTGCTTTTTTGTCCCCTTTTTCGGCTGCGCCTAAAAACAACTTCTCCACGGAGCGTTTTATCTCTTCACGTTTATCCATAATCTAGACCGTCTACAAATATATATTCTTCAATCTTCCGTATTCTATGAGCTGGACGCAGGATCGTACCTTGTTAATTATTTCTGCTCTTGACTTGCCATTTCACAGATTTGGGCACCCTAGCTTTGTGGAAATTAACCTTCTATTCCATTGTTTGGATTGTCTGTACGGCAGCTGTGCGGTAAAACAGTACTGAATCGGTATACAATTTAACGGATGTGGCTAGTAGTCAGATTGCAAGGACATGGCATATTTATGGAAGCAGTGTGTGTACAGATGTTTATCACCTAACCATTTAACGCCTAAGTCATTCCCACAGCTACAGCAATGGCGGTGCCGCGTCGCTACATACTCCTAGTATACCATCGACGACTGAAATGTATTATCCTATCATGACCAGTGTAACAACTACTATGTTAAATAACTCCATTTAGGTGTCTTATTGCTAAAAATAAACGTTTGATGGGAATGAACGACGGCAGTTTTAATTCGTATGCATTACCGATCCGCGGTATTTGCAAAAATAGAAACCGTCAACCTTTGCTCACATACAAGTTTCTACCGGAATATCACGTCGCTGTCTAATACTGTGACGTAATATAGCCTCAGTGCAGTGATGTTATGCTATCTACGGTTGCTACTGTTGATATAAGCTAACCACGTAGTACCAGAAATCGAACATGTGTATTAAATACACACCTAATGTTATATGTATTTCATCTCAATATGATGTTTTTCCTTCTGTTACAAATATGAACATATACATTGAAACTAATTAGTATAGAGGTTTATTATTTCTACTGGGAATAGGAGAGTATGTGGGCTACGCTATATCACACAATACAGAAAACATTATATAAAGATATAAATTTACATTGGTTCGTCCCTCGTGATTATTTCAAGACGTGGCGTGTATTGCTTCTACCAATACATTATTTAAGGTACGTAGACCCTACTCATAAGTGAAATTATCTAGAATATATTCTTTTGCAATCAATTACACTTATACATTGAGATGTGGAGATATGCCACTTACAATATTGTGGGTTGGTGGCACAGGTGGGTGGTGTTATTCCTAATTATTTCAATAATCTTAGTTGTTACAAAGTGACAACAAATTTTCCTTCACTAGTGTGTTTTACGGAATTGTTCTAAAAATGTTGAAACAGCCGAAGTACTGTAACGCACACAAAACAATTATATTTTATAATGCCATAGAATTATACATCCATAATTTACACAACATTCCAAAATACACTGACATGCGATTTAAAACCAACTTTAAAAAAGAAACCTATCTTAAATCGATGTAGACATCACGACGCGCCGTGTTCGATGTGCGTTCCATTCGACGTATGCAAAGTGTGTGAAATACATCATTTGTTACATGAAATAGAATCTCGCGTTGTGTGGCGACTGTGACACTATATTACGATCTATTTCTAATATACCTTACTATGATATATTTCTGATATACCTTACTATGATCTATTCCTGATATACCTTACTATGATCTATTTCTGATATACCTTACTATGATCTATTTCTGATATACCTTACTATGATCTATTTCTGATATACCTTACTATGATATATTTCTGATATACCTTACTATGATCTATTTCTGATATACCTTACTATGATCTATTTCTGATATACCTTTCTATGATCTATTTCTGATATACCTTACTATGATCTATTTCTGATATACCTTACTATGATCTATTTCTGATATACCCTACTTTGAATTCCGTTTAAATACCGTATATAACTTCGATGGTGCTCAACCGGGCTCAATATCGAGTACCAATGCTTTCCCTCTACGAAACTAACCCTGATACACGTAGCTACCTGAAACGCCTTGGTGTCAGAAAAGAGAGACCGAACGGCCGTTCTAAAATTAAAAAAATTCTTGTCAATACAAGAAACGGAAATATGAAGCAGCTGTTCTGTAAAGAAACAATTCAAACGATGCCACACCGCAAACATCACGTATAGGGCCAATTTCCACACGTCCCCGCAAATTAAAGACATTATTAAAAGTCTGTAGATATAATAGTAGTAAAACGCAGATGGTTATTACAGTTTTATCTTCTAATAAAGAGTTTTTGATTCGAGTTTTGCCATGTCTCGGTGCCACGTACGCATGATATGGCTAGCAAAGCTGTAATTAATCAGAGGAATTTATATGCTGTTATCGTCCGACGGATACTATGCGGTCATGGAAGTCATAAACAGGTTTGATGGGACCGTAACAGAATCAAACATGTATTAGAGTAACAATCAATCAATCAATCAATCAATCAATCAATCAATCAATCAATCAAGCCTTTCTTCAATCAATCGATCAATATTTATTTCAATCATTAATTGATCACTCAAGCACATGAATATAGATTTACGGCATGTATATTCAGCGAGAACTCCTCAGAAAGGTGGTTTGGTGGCGGCGTTTAATCAATAATGGTAACACATGTGTTGAGCATTTAAATCATCAATTGTTCTTCCGTGGCGATGGAATATCGAAGAGAACAATGATATAACGTATAATAATATCAGACACAGATTAATATGTAGTTAATTGGTGATGTCACTACAATGACCTACAATAGTGTTTCATCTCTATTAAAGATATTTGCCAATGATTCAAGTCGTGACAAAGTCTGGTTACCAGAGGTAGTACAACACTGTGAATAAAAGCTATTTTGGTTTTCTTTCAATATTAGTACATTCCCGATTTGCACGTCGTGTTGAGGCTAGAAAAGCGTTTCGTCGTTAGAGGGCGATATTTATAATAAGGGCGCATTGTAGTTTAATTGCGTAGTTTAATTAGAGCCTAATAATTACCAGAGAGCGTGATTTATAAGTACTGTGCAATGTATTTCAATTGCGTCGCTCCAATATCAGCTTACGTCACGCCTTGGTTGAATAGAGTGTATGTAACAATTGCCATTTATTCTGTTCACTACATCATTTTATTATATCATAATACGGAAATATTCGATCCTGCCCTCAACGTAATATCACCATATCAATACTCTCAGTCCATAACATGATATCGCCATATCAATTACCTCAGTCCATAACGTATTATTACCATATCAATTATCTCAGTCCATAACGTAATATCACCATATCAATTATCTCAGTCCATAACGTAGTATTACCATATCAATTACCTCAGTCCATAACGTAATATAACCATATCAATTATCTCAGTCAATAACGTAATATCACCATATCAATTATCTCAGTCCATAACGTAATATTACCATATCAATACTCTCAGTCCATAACGTAATATTACCATATCAATTACCTCAGTCCATAACGTAATATAACCATATCAATTCCCTTATTTCATAACGTAATATCACCATATCAATTATCTCAGTCCATAACGTAGTATCACCATATCAATTACCTCAGTCCATAACGTAATATCATCATTTTGATTCTCTCAGTCCATAACGTAATATTGCTATATCAATTATCTCAGACCATAACGTATTATTACCATATCAATTCTTTCAGTCCATAACGTATTATTACCATATCAATTACCTCAGTCCATAACGTAATATAACCATATCAAGTATCTCAGTCCATAACGTTATATTACCATATCAATTATCTCAGTCCATAACGTATCATTACCATATCAATTATCTCAGTCTATAACGTAATATCACCATATCAATTATCTCAGTCCATAACGTAGTATTACCATATCAATTACCTCAGTCCATAACGTGATATAACCATATCAATTTTCTCAGTCCATAACGTAATATCACCATATCGATTATCTCAGTCCATAACGTAATATTACCATATCAATGATCTCTGTCCATAACGTAATATTACGATATCAATTATCTCAGTCCATAACGTAATATTACCATATCAATACTCTCAGTCCATAACGTATTATTACCATACCAATTCTCTCAGTCCATAACGTATTATTACCATATCAATTACCGCAGTCCATAACGTAATATAACCATATCAATTACCTCAGTTCATAACGTAATATTGCCATATCAATTATCTCAGTCCATAACGTAATATTACCATTTCAATTATCTCAGTCCATAACGTAATATCACCATATTAATTATCTCAGTCCATAACGTAATATTACCATATCAATTCTCCCAGTCAATAACGTAATATTACCATATCAGTAACCTCTATCCATAACGTAATATTACCATTTTGATTCTCTCAATTCATAACGTAATATTACTATATCAATTCCCTTAGTCCATAACGTAATATTACCATATAAATTATCTCAGTTCATTACGCAATATTACCATATCAATTATCTCAGCTCATAACGTAATATCACCATATCAATTATCTCAGTCCATAACGTAATATTACCATTTTGGTTCTCTCAGTCCATAACGTAATATTACTATATCAATTCCCTTATTCCATAACGTAATACCACCATATCAATTATCTTAGTCCATAACGTAATATCACCATATCAATTACCTCAGTTCATAACGTAATATCACCGTTTTGATTCTCTCAGTCCATAACGTAATATTACTATATCAATTCCCTTAGTCCATAACGTAATGTCATCATATCCTTATCTCAGCTCATAACGGAATATCACCATATCAATTATCTCAGTCCTAAACGTAATATCACTTTTTTGATTTTCTCAGTATGTACCGTAATATTACTATATCAATTCCCTTAGTCTTAAACGTAATATCACCATATCAATTATCTCAGTCCTAAACGTAATATCGCCGTTTGAATCTCTCAGTCCATAACGTAATATTTCCATATCAATTACCTCAGTCCATACCGTAATGTCACCGTATAAATTATCTCGGTCCATAACGTAATATTACCGTATCAATTGTGAAGCTCAGTTGAAAAATAATTCAATATATCCAGTTTGCAAAACCACTACACGAACAGGAGCACTCGTGATACACTAATGATACGAGTGTGCCCGTTGGCATAGAGATAGTGTAAGTAAATAAATGCACTAATATTTGTTTCTCAAATTCTATACAATGTATAATCTATATATTTGGAGGAAGAAAGCGTGTTTTTGAAATATTTGTGTTCTGTTTCGTTAAATAACATGGGTTTTGGGGGAATATCTCATTGTAATGACTAAACACGATACAGCACAAAGCATCCGCAGTCGCGGCGCAGTACGCGCTTTAATTTCTTGTAAGTAAATACGTTGTATTAGATGCGTAGGTCTATAGCGAAAACAACCTGGCACAATGACGGCGCCATCTACGTCAACAGTGAAAACGACTATTTAAAATATGTACAACAGTGTACAGCACAACATTGTTGTTAATCTGATTAATATAGGTCACACTACCCTTAAGTATGTATATTTGCTATGCGACCCGAAAATAGTCGAATACATGTGATGACACTCGTTCGTTAATTCCCACTGTAGCAATAATGCGTGCGTGGTAACACTTGTAATGACCGTCCTAGATACATGCTGACACTCCCGTAGTGCGCATATGAAAACTATATAGGCTATTTGTGCTGTATCATAAATGAATTGTTAATATTGTAATTATTGATCACACCCAGAACGTACCCCACGTGTTACTACTAACAGCAACACAGCGGCAAGCGTAACAAAGGATCTGGTGCGTTGTTTGGCAACGCGCTATATAATTATTTTGATGGATAGCCGATTTGGTTGAGAGAACATCCAAACTCCATGCCACGTTGTTAGCGCAATTTCATAGTAAACCTGGACGTATAGCGTGGTCGACAGACAGAGGGCGCTATATACCCATGTGTGACCGTCTCATGACATAATGAACATCTCATATCTCAAATTATGATGTGTTAAACCATGTGTTGTGTACTAGTATAATTAAATTTAGATAATCCATTTTAAATCATATAAAATATGTTTATGTAGCTCATGTAGTTCATACGATTAACACTTGGGCCAAGTTACACAACTTCTAATGAAATATGCCAATTTCCCAATAATACAACCTGTACAAACTTTTAGTTGGTAGATAAATTTATTAAATTACCAAAAACGGAGAATTATTAACCATAATTTCATCTGATCCGATAATAATGTTTTTTTTTGTTTTTGTTTTTTTTGGAACGTGTGCGTGTTCCGGGGGGCTCAGTGCCCCCCCCCCTAAAAACATGAGACTGACGTTCCTGTTGCTTGAACTCAATGTCAACATTTTGTGGGAATTTTTAAGAAGAGTAGTTCAAGTTGAATGGAAGAATAAACCGCGTATGGACTGAAACAGATGACTTTATTGAACGAACTGAAGAAGAGACGTTTTGTCTCCTATTTATATACTCAAAGTAAATATTGACCTTGTTCATGACTGGTTACAATAGATATGGCCTTGTACATGATTGGTTAACGATAAAGGAGCTGATTGATTGGTTGTTAAAACAATCTCATTGGCTGGCTAATTCTCAGTCAGAATTCTAAATTATTATCAAGCTCAATTTTTGTTTATCCGCCATATAATCATACAAAGCGCGTTTGATTTTGGGAAACATCTATCATGGATGATACCGTCGGGAAAACGCTCATATTGGTGTCCTTTACACATCCCGCCCACCACCATTGTCAACTTAGTGATGTTAGGGTGAGGGGAAACTAGTCACAACATTTGTATGGTAGAACCTATGACTTGCATATGAATTTTGAATTGGGACATCAACACTCAATTGTGTGAGGATCTCATGGAGTATTGTTCTTTAATCCACAAAAAATGTGATTTTAATGTCATGGTAGCACTTAATCAGAGTTTAACTATTCTGGTTCCCAGCACATCTTCAAATACGGGTCAACAGTTAGGCTTTCGGACTATGATTTAAAGCGTGTTTTCTACCTTGTCCCGATATAAATTCTGCCTATCCAATATACCGTCATGTTCACACTATGATATACCACGCGTGCCATCTTCACAATAACATTCAGTCTAGAATTGTTTAAAAAGTCAATAATTATGCATTGTTTCGAATAAAACGCAAAGAAAATGTGAAAGTTTAAGGGCGATGGTCGTCGTGCCACGCATGCGCGAGATATAGTTCTTATATAAGGTTGATGACTTTGACTGTTCCGCACACCAACGAGTACAACCTGAGCGGTTACTAAGCTTTAATTAAGTAATTTGTTGGTGATTTGAAGGTACCGGTGGTAATTGGTGGGAATGCACCCAGGTCTAAACTCGTATCGGTGATTTAATTAAAAAAGTGCATTGGATTGTGGGAAATAAATGTCTATATCTATAAAAAAAATTGCACATGCGCTGCGCGATGACCAACACTCACTAAAATTCTGTTTTCACCAAAACAATCTAAATTGCTTAAGGTAGCAATTAGGAGGAACATCGAGAAAACACTATACACACATAATAACCTGTATGCACATTAGAAAAAACTCATATACGCATTATAACCACATCCACCTAGTCTCATCATCTACCCCACATCCTCATATAACACTATAGCAACCAATCTACAACAACACATATAACTCTATGACAAATATCCACATCATAACTCATATACACATTGTAATAACCATACACACTACACAAAAACCAATATACACATTATAACGACCACATACACGAAATAACGGCCCATATGCACAATATCTTCACTCATATAAACATCATAACCCATATACACGTTATAACAATCCATAAACATATCACAACCATATAACTATTTACGACTCTTATACATAACAAACTCATCTGGACATTATATGCCCACATATATGTATATCATAATATTCCACGTGGACATTATAATGACCCACATGCACCTCTGGTCAACAAGTACTAGTACATAATAAAAAGTTAATATTCGGTTTCCACCGTTAACGTATTCATTTTAATACAAATATATAATGATACAAATCATGTTTTTTGTTTGTTTCAAGTTTAAGTTGAAAGTATAAATTCATCGACCAGAAAAAACAAAACATTTCGTTTATAAAAAGTATTCTTAAAGTCAATAATGTATGTATTGCTCCGAATAAAACGCAAACAAACTAAAATAATGTTTTCACCAAAACCATGTATAATGCGTAAGGTAGAGAAAAACGAGAAAACAAAATAGATTTTTTTTATAATGTCTGATTCTGTAATAAGATAACTTACATAGAATGTCATGATCACAATTACACTATTTCTAGTTGTTCCCCTTTCCCTACCTTACATTACAAATATATAATGTCAAAAATTTAATGTTAATTTTATCCATGCATTTAAAGGTAAATTTTAATTATTGTGTGATTTATATTAGTGTGTTCTTCAGTTAGAATGTGCTTGATATAATATAAATTTTGTATTTGCATGTTTTTAAATGAAAAATAACCATCCCTATCCTGTACAATAATTACTCACTTTTTATTGAAATATTCATATATATTTAAGATGATTTTCTTTGACTTTGTAACTCTCACAGTACCATCTATTTTTTCTGTAAGTATTTCTGGTAAGTCCATCAATGTCACCTCTAGCATAAGCCAGCTTCAAGTGACTGTACCTCAGGCCTGACCCTGCAATTTTCTGTGCCATATACTTGCTGATTATTTTGCTGTTGACTAGTATAGGCAATGTGTTATAGTTAGATGACTTGTTACTATTGTAATCGTGATAACTAACAGCATATTTAAATGTATAGCTATGATCTAACATTGTTGGCAAGTCAATTTTGCAACATTCAAGTCATTTCTGTAGTGCAAGTACATCCGCACTAGCATTTTGTGCACTATAAACCTGACCAACAAATTCATCAACCAAACTTTGTTGTGCATATGAACCTTTATCAGGAAACACAGATTTAAACAATGGCAGAGTATTCACAAAACCACTAATAACTGCCATAAACCTATCAATAAAAGAACTCTCCTTGATTGCAGTTATTAGGTAACGACAATCAAATGAATGGTTACTATGACCAACTAAAATAGGATTCTTGACATCTAAAAGAAAATACAGAAATTTTTCCAAGCATGTTTTTAAATCCATTGTTTTCACTGGTTGGCCCTGGTAGCACAGTTCACCATTTTTTACCATCAAATGAGTTATTCTGGAAACAACTGGACTTATATGTTGTTTTGGCAATATATAACCTTCAAACTGTTTCTCACCAGTAACAGCAGATAGTTGAGTAATCTCTGCATCTGAACCTGCATAAAAAACATCAGGAAATGAAACATTAGCTGTAATCTAGTAAACATCTAGTTTATACTGGGGGGGGGGGACTTCTGAGTTTAATATGCAACAGTGCCCTCTATGGCCGGACCGTATATCAGTACTGACTACCTCAAAGTGAGTTTCTTTGAGTCATAGTTTTTTCTTTTACTTTTTTTCTTTCTTTTAGCACATTGGGATGTAATTCATCTACCTAAACATCATGTAATTCAAAGGTGAATACACTGATGTTTCTGCCATAAAATTTGAAAAAAAACGGTAGCAGTTGTATGGTTTCAGTCATTGGATACATTTTGACTTTTCCACTGTCAGCATGCCAAACTTATGTATTGTCTGACATATAGTTGCTGAGAACCAGTTCTCTTGATATCCCAGAATATTAGAATAATACATACATCCAGACGTAGTTTCTATGTCAAAAACCACAGGCGTGTATACTCCAGAACCATAATTGGTATAGTACAGGTGTGATGGTTCAAATACCAAAATGGCAACAGTAACAGAAAGACTTCCCTGGCGGCGATGATAAAATACGAACACGGAGCCAACAGATGAGGTTTCAACTGGTACTGGTATTATTATACTCTGCAAACATCAAGTACAATAACGCGGTAAAACTCCACTACTCCAATGACTAGATACTTAAACTCCAATACAATTCAACGAGATCTCCGATCTGAACTCAGTGCTGAACAACTCCCCTATATATACCCCCACTGTCTATAAATATACCATTACATCAGCATACATAATGAGTCTGGAACTTACTACAAATTTCTAGAATGTTCCATTACCTTCTATTGCCTCCTACAGTGTTCTATTACCTATTCAACCATTTTCTAAAAAATATAGAATATTCCACCCAGACACAGTACGGTTCTAGAACATTCTCAGTGACACGGAAGTGGTAAATAAGTCGTATGCGACAGCAGTTTTGTTACTTCTCTGCTCTTTCGGTTTCAATCGTTGTAGTTTTGCTTCTCTTGTTTTAGCTTTTTCGTCCAATCTGCTATCAGATAGATGACATGCACTACTGGGTGACAAGTTATGTTTTTGGTTGACCTAGGGGAAACACATAAGAGTACATGATTAAATAACAAAATATATGGTTCACCATAATAGTATTCTCTAATGTCAACATACAGTCAGTCTTTTTAATGTGTGTTGAAATTGGGATATTGCCTATAAAATGATCAGGGGGAGGGGGGCAATGTTTAACTTATTTTAACAAAATTTTTCATAATTATATCTATCAGGTGAGTACAGGGGTATATACTCAACATACAATGTATGTCTGCACATTCAGTGAATTACTGTGCCACAATTTAGTTATACTATGTGTGATTGTACACATACGTAATTTCTTAACATTTAACTACTCTATATTGTGTCAATATACCGGTAAATACATGCATTTATAGTCATACATACAATTAGTATGGGTGTAGAACTACATGTCTAAGCTAATTTACCAATCGGACACACATATGTATGCCCTATGTTCTTCTGAGCAACAGCTGCTGCAACACGAACACTGTAGTATTTTGCTTTGGGTGCCTTAGAAGCTATCACCATATTCATATTTTCAATACCCTGTGTTGAACCCATCCTAGCTAAGTCATTTGCACTACCTATGTAAGACTTCATAATCTTATCTGAACTTGCTCTTAGATCATCACCCCATAAATCCTTTCCTTAAGGCAGGCTACTGTGTTTGTAATTAGCAGGGTCAACTAAATATTGACACCAACTGCCATCACAATGTGTATGATCTCCAAATGCATGTGGGATTATAGATTTCAGATTCTTTTGCATGCTACTAACACTGTCACGATTTTGAGAGATTGCATAACTAAAACACTTCTGTAAATAGTTTATGACCTTTGTTGATAACTGCTTGTAATCGTTATCTTCCTTTAACTTATACAGTTTATTAGTGAATCCTTTCTTTGTGTGGTTATTGTCTTTATTTTTTACCATGTCATTTCTTATTTTTTTTTTTGCAACCGAGCTATAGTAGTGGTATCATTATCCATTGTTATGCTGTCTATTTCAACTTTTTTCTCAATTTCTTTTATTGCTTCAACAGCAATATCTGCCTCCATAGCTTTTGAACTGCCTAACCAGAGTCCCCTTTCCCATTCTTTGTGAAGCTTCAAAAACATGACACTGTTTACATCTTTTACTGTAGGAAAGTACCTTGCTTGTCTGATTGCGTAGAACTGTACCATGACCTAAGTAAAATACATTTTATTAAACTAACTACAACTACCAAATATTTTATTAATTCGTTTATATAATATCTTTATTAGTTAAATTATTGGTTGGGTGATTGATTGACTGGACAGACTAATAATTGCTTTTTGACTGAATGGTTGATTTGACTGCATGGATTGACTAATTTTCTTTTTTTGATTGATTGATTGATTGATTGATTGATTATTTGACTTTATTCACCACACACAGACTTAAATAATTTGTTTGGCCATTGTCTTAGTGAAATTATTTGCCATAAATTACAAATATTGGCAAGTACAAAGTATAATATTACCTGATGAACTTTTGTAATCTCTCCCACTTCCCCTCTTCTGCCATCCTCCATCATATGACACATCAATTCTGCATGAATAGAAAACAGATTAAATGTTTAATTTCAACTCAAATGATATTGAAATGTTGCTACATATTTAGCTAACAATATTTGGCCACAAGCAAACTAGCCAGAGGGAACACTGAATATATTTCAAGTAAAGAAAACTGTCATTCAGTACATGTGAACACAAAGATAAAATATACTTTATTTTGTCATGTCCAGCATGAAATTCTTGTGTGCAAATTACAGTCGTAAATACAATACCATACCAACACACTGTTGAAAAAGAAATTACTGATTGAATTACAGCAGTATAAAATGTATTTAAAGCATATTTAGAAATATCAAATTTCCTTAATTGTCTTAGAAAATACACTCTGGAATTGACTTTTTTGAAAAGCAAATTAACATTACTGTCAAAATTAAACTTATTGTTTATAACTGTGCCCAAATATTTGTATTTCTCAACATTTTCCACTTCAACATTATTAATAAATAAAGGCAAATGAGTGAATGGAGATCTCCTGAAATTAACCACCATTTCTTTGGTTTTCATGACATTCAATTCTAAGTAATTTTCAGTACACCAAGTAGAAAAATGTTTAACTTCTGCCCTAAAGTCATCATCACTATTAACACACTGACTAACCAAAGCAGTATAATCTGCATATTTAAATAGCTGTGATGCATTGCATTGACAGTCATATGTGTACAAGGTAAATAAAAGTGGAGACAAAACACAACCTTGTGGAGCACCTTTATTTGTATGAACGATTATAGATTTTGTATTGTTATATCTTACATATTGCGACCTATTTGTAAGGAAGTCATTAACCCATAGTATTAAGTTCGGTTGACCTTCATGTTCAACAACTTTTGTATAAGAATATGTGGTTGTATGGTATTAAATGCCGATGAAAAACCAATGAATAAAATCTTAACATAGTTTTTAAATATTGGCCACTACAGAAAAATGTTAAAATACTGATTACCTTGGCACACATTAATATGTAATATTTAGTTTTTTGGAGGAAGACATTTCATCATCTAAAGCTTGTTCATAGGACTCCTTGCATTCTCCGTCGCAGAGACTATATGTCTTTTATCACTAAGCTAGGTAGTCGCCAGGAAACGTCCCACTAGTCTCTGCCACAAGCTAATTTAAATATTAATGACAGGATCTACTTTTTGCTTTGCCATGAGTGCGTTCGCGTCACTCCCTTGGGGTGCCCCAAGTAGATGTATTGGTCCATTGCTATGCGAGTGAAACTCATATAAAATGAACAAAAAATGCCACGCCCACTTAGCATTTTATGTTTGAGAAAATTACCTAAACACCTTTTTACATATCGATTTCGAAGTTCGCTATCTTTGTCCCAACATCGCCCAGTTATGACGTCATATATAGCTGTAGAATGGAAACTGGGTAGGCACCCGCATCACTCTGAGGCAACGACGCGAATGCACCGACGATTCGAACCAACGATTCACATCTACGTCTCCTGCCGAGGATCTACTTTTTCATTATTTTAACATTTTGAAAATATTTTAGCACTGAACTTAAACATATATGATATATTTATTTTAAATAACACACATTTTTTTCAACAGAAGCTAAGAATATAAGTAACAAAAGAATTTTAAAAATACGCGGAATACCAAAAAGTTTGGTGTAAAATGTCGCCTGTGGCAGAATCTAGTTGCAGCTCTCTGTGGCTCCCTAGGTCAAGAAGACTCTGCAAGGGAGAGTGGATTCCTTGGCTACTTGTATAATTGCTTCACCAGTCTCTCTTCTTTTCATTTCAATGTTGTACTATGTATGCTTGGTATTGACATTGCAGTAAACATAGAATTGACATGACGTTCGCAAATACCAGCATTGATCATACCTTTAAAGAAAGACAATATTGACAAATAAAATAGCTATGTAAATTAAATTTAAAATCCAATCTAATAATTCCCCCCCCCCCCGCACCGAGTAGGAATGATATTTTTAATTAATTAGTAATTTAATTCAAGGCATGTGGGGTTATGATTTGTGACAGGGTTATATTCAAAATAAGTAAGAAATGCCAGGATATGCAGCAAAATCAATTACAGGAAACGAATACGTAAGTAATGAACACGTAGAGTAGTTTATTACGTCAATATAGTATATCCACTGATATATCGGAGAATTTACCATAAAGAATTATGTAAGCAAACGTTGAACACAACAACGCGGTAAAGACTAGCGCTAAAATACTTGCGCGTCCTATTTATACGCTCGGTGGGATTCTGAACACTAGGCGGGAATGTCCCTCATTGGTCGAAAGTTAACATTAAAGCAATGCGTAATAAAGTGGTGTTTTCTATCACGTTCGCACTTGTGCCACCAACATGTCTATTTATAGACGTGGTTTAAAGCAAAAATTGTATGTAAAAATGTATCAAATATATAAAGTATTCAAACAGAATTTAAGAAAACTCAGATAATACAATACTATCTATCTACTATTACTACATTCTTAATTGCTTAACACGACAAGGCAACACTTTGGTGCAGTAATCTTAAAAAACATATCAACACATTAAAATATAAGAAACATACCTGTAGCTAGTTTAGTATTAATGTCAAATGAACCCATACCGCGTGTCTTCCCTTCTTCGTGTTGTGTTTTGTTGGTGTATACGTTGTTGACGGAGGCAACGCACGCAACTACTAAGTCTTAGATGTTCAGAACAAAAAATTGCAACTGTTTAAACCCTTGGCTAAAATGTCCAAATTCACCATTATGATGCCTTCGTCCGACGGAATATCTTTATTACAAGTAATATTGTCGTCTGCTGCGCCATCTTCTTTGTTTACATCCCGGTCACTCTCACCACTGATGGTCAATCGCCGCAGTTCCCCCGAATGACTCGCTACAAAATTGCCACAAGGATACGTCTTCTTTTTTCCTTCCCAGAGAGGAATTTTCCTTTGGCTGACATTGCATACACCGCAAGTCACGATCGAGCAAACATTGACAGCATACACACAGAACACACACTTTTTTTTCAACTAAGCTAGGGAGTTTGCATGCGCAAAACAAATGCGCAGCAGAGTTTAGCTTACTTAACAAGGTAGTTAAATACGCATATGATGATCTGCAGCGAAATTGGTGTTAGGATTGACAACATTGGCGGATTTAGAGGGGCCGAGCCCCCTATTTTTAACAACCAACAGGTCTTCGCGCCATCGGCGCTCGTGAACTTGGCATTTGGCCAACTTATCGCCCCCCCTCCTATTCCAGCATCCTAGATCCGCCCCTGAGCAAATATTTCTTCCGTTGACCAAGTGGGAGGGCGTAAGTGGATTTAAACCGTTGTCGTCAGTAGAAAGATGTGTAAGGGTGCGATCGTTGATTGCTGACTCGATCTCCATCACAATCGTCTCCATGTTGATATAAGTTACACAGACACGACCGAGAATTTTCTTTAAGCTAGTCTTAGTAATGGCTATCATACGCTCGAAAAATCACCCATTCTATGGAGATCGTTTGAGAGCAAATTCCCAGTTGATTCGGTGATTTGTCAGGTATCGCTGAACTGCAGGATCAGACATCAGGGTTTTGAGTTCATTGGCGGCTGATACAAACGTAGTGGCATTGTCCGAAACAATAAATTTAGGAGTACTACGTCTAGCTGAAAAACGTCGGAAGGCTTGAATA